GGCCGGCCTTTCCTGATGGAACTATAAGTCCCACCTCTGGCAGCAGCACCAGTGAAAACTGGATCCCTCGGGCTTGTGGAGCCTTCAAGGATGCGCATGCATGACCGGGTGCTGGCCTCAGCCAAGATGGCCATCCGCGCATTTGTAGCAATCGCGACGGACACCCTGAAGGCTGCCCTGTCAGCAATCAACGGTAAGACCAACAGCCCGTCTCTTTTCTCTCTGATTTCAGGGGGCCCCCAACGGAAAAATGCATGCGTGGCAGGACCTGATCAACGGGATGCAGTGCCACGCAGTACACCGCACAAACGGAAGCAACCTTTCCTAGCACCAAGACCCCAACACTGGTCCTCTGCCTTCTTTCAACAAATCTCACTTTCTGACACTTGACTAACAAAAAACTTTTACAACACTTTTCAGACAAATTCGGGACTCCCACCCCTGGCGGGATCCCTGACTTGAGTGACGCAGCTTTCCTCCTTTGTTCCTCAGGACCCCCTGGTGCGCCTGAGCGCCACCGTTTTTTGGATCCGGACCGGTCAAGGACGCTCTGCGTCCCCCCAGTGCCACCGCACCCGCACCTCCCAGCCCCCAGTGACCGGCAACATCTACGCGACCCCGTTTTGGGGTCCTTTGGCCATCTCCAGCCTCTCGGCCGTCGTCAACCAAAGGAGGAGATTTTGTGGGGTCGCGTCCACGTGGCGTGACCCAAGCGTAGCATCCTCTCTTGGGCACGCCGCGCAGCAATGGCAGCACAGAGACCCGGAAGCGGATAGGCATCCGGTTTGCCGCATTGCGGTAAACTGGGTCAGTAGCAAGAGATACGAATCTCCGGCAGCGGAAGCCAACACTGAAGTCCCGAAGACTTTGGGAAGAATTCATTCAGACTGGAGAATTGCCTTACGACGGTTGTGAATGATCTTATACCTAGCGCGATTATCTGTTGTGTACCTCAGAGTACTTCTTGTCCTTCTGTTGTCCTGTGTCTGCATTAAAGTGCTGCTTTCTAAGGGACTCTTCTAAAGAGGATCCGGCCGTTAAAGGCAATCTTATACCTAGCGCGATTATCTGTTGTGTACCTCAGAGTACTACTTGTCCTTCTGTTGTCCTGTGTCTGCATTAAAGTGCTGCTTTCTAAGGGACTCTTCTAAAGAGGATCCGGCCGTTAAAGGCTGACTGACTGTGTCCATTTCTTTCTCTAAATCTTTGTCGTTAATCGGCCCGACAACTGTTGTCCTGTGTCTGCATTAAAGTGCTGCTTTCTAAGGGACTCTTCTAAAGAGGATCCGGCCGTTAAAGGCTGACTGACTGTGTCCATTCCTTTCTCTAAATCTTTGTCGTTAATTGGCCTGACATTAATGATGATTGTCTATCTCATCTTACTTCGAAATTGCAAATGTATGATTGAATCATGCATGTATGATGTATGTATGATTTTCAATTTCGAAGTAAGATGAGATAGACAATCATCATTAAGAATTGCACTCTAAAACCACACATGCGTCATCTTGTTACAGTCACTCTTTCCATGTGTACTTGAGAGGCAAAAGCTGGCTCAAGACACTATTTCACGAAATTATGCAATCATAATGATTGCATAATTTCGTGAAATAGTACCTATTACCACGATTTGGCCAATTACACAGACACTGGATGCAAGAATTAATCTTCATTATGAGTTAGAACAAAAACATGCATCCATGTTGGATGCACGTTTTTGTGCTAATATATTTTAACTTTAAAATATTTTCCATATACAGCAGTACTGTACTGATGGTTAATTCTTCTCTCTACATGTAAGCTTATCATCTTAACCGTAGGGCCCCATACCGCTGAAGTGCCTCAAGTCTCTCAACTTCAGATTCTGTATTATATTCGTGATTGGCTCGATGTTAGACGGTTAGACATGAAATATAAACTGAATCGAAGAATTTAAATTTAGGTGATAATATGTACAGTATTTTCAGGAAGAAAAAAAAATTGCACATGGATGTCAGGAATACCAGGGCCAGCCCCGGAAGTAGCTCTTCAATTTCATAGATGTGTATAGCCAGCAGAAGTTCAATTTTTTGGATTAAATGAATGACAGATGCTGATAAGAAGATCAAGTGTGTGTACAAGGTGAATGAAAATTGGACAACATCCAAATGTCCATCCAAAAAACTAGGAAAAATTTTAGTTCAGGCCGAAGTAAAGTTTGCCAATTTCTTTGGCATCGATTTTGAATAATATTTTCAGCCCTCATGATGTGGATACGAAATATCCTTTAAATTAAGTTTTCTTTGAAGATTGTCCAAGAACATTCGCTGAAAGTGCAATATCTCATGAAGTATAAATACTGTACTCGAAAGCTAAATTTTACCTGATTTAATTATACAGTACAGTACCTTGAATGGTTCACATTTTTATTTATGCGTTGAATTTTATGGTTACCATGATTACTTCAAATATATAAGTACAACATTCTAATAATTGTGGGCTTTCATTCGCGAGAGAATATAAATAACATCCCTTCCTGAATTGGATCCGTGAAAATAAATTTATCAAAACGCTTTCAATTTTTATAACTAAATAACAAATCTAAAAAAATGAGCCAATTCCTGAAAGATTTGAACATATTATAAAATCGTAATTATTATGAATCTGATCAACGAGTCTGTTTTTTGGCCAAATATGTTGGAAATTCGATTATTCCCTGAAAGAAATCCCTTGATCCCGAAATTTCAGCATTTAGATTTCAAATGGCCTTAATAATGGTAGTATTCGATTTGAACATTATCATTTGAAAGATCGTCAATGAAGGACTCTTGTTTGAGAATTCGAAATTCAGCTTTTCATATTTTCATAGATTTTAAGGTATTTTAATAAAGTTTTTCTTTACTTCGATATATTTTTCAAGTGTTTTTCAAATAGCCATAGCAATCATAAAATAAAAACGAAAGCAAAAACAATTTGGAAACAATTTCATCTGAACTTTGCATCATTTCTGTGTCTCCTATAGTTTTTGAATATTTTTTTTAATCGACCAAAGCTTTCCTAGGCCACCCTTTACATCTCAGTTTTAAAGGAAACATCCGGAAAAATTCTTGCTCTGTTCCTGGCGTTGGCATGATCATTCAGCACGGAAAGGATGCAAAAATATGATTGCAGGAATTTTGCTTGTGCGGAGGAATGGCTGAGCAATGACAGAGAAAGGCGGAGAATCAGTAAGCAGGAGCAAGAAGGGCAGAACATTCCGATTAACGGGCTGGCAAGAGGGGGAAAAAAGAAAGAACACTGAGCTTGTGAGTGCTACCTTAGCCCGGGGTTCGCTAGGAAGTCGTGGACTATAGGAATCTCACCTGGGTATTCCAGAATTAGAACCTAGGGTTTGGGCAAAACGCCAACCATCTCTCTCCATGTGCACAGGGAATTCTTGGATTTCGCCAGCTGCTCTCTCCTCCTTGACATTTTCGGGATGTTTCCTCCCTTCGTTTATGTGATCTTACCTCTGGTTTCTCTCGCAGCGTGAGTTGTGCTGGAGAATGCGCTGGTAAACGGCCAAAGCTCTACATTCGCCGTCCTGGCGGCTGGAAAATTCGCGAAATAAAATCGGGCATTATCCGGAATTCCTCAGCTCCGTTCTCGATGCGGCGTCGAAGCTCATGTTCCTTTATATTCTCTGAAAACCTTCACCCACCGGGAAGTCACGGCAGCGGTGTCGCCTTTCGTGTGCTTTGGGACGACCAGGTAGATAATGCCGCCTTATTCTGGAAAGCGGTCGAGAGAAGGAACCGCCGTTTTCTGCAGCTAACCCGCGCGGCGCTCACCGGACCAACCGCGTGGACCCGGCCCGATGCCTCGCCAGGTTTCCCACCCCATACCGGTCATTTTCTCTGCGCAGCGCGCCGCCGTCACTTCGGGGTCTCTCTCCTACTGCCGCCTACGCCCCCCCCCCCCTCCCCTCCCCCACACGTTATTTTCTCCAGTCATCCCCGGGTTTGCTAGTGCCGTGTCCGGTAAACGCGCAACGGCGGATTTTCCGCCGCTTCCTCCTGCTGCTGGCGCACGGGAACCCGCGTGCATCCCGGCTTATTCCTCCGTATCCCGGGTCTGCAGCCAGGAACGAGTTGTCCTGTTTCAAACGGTGCCCTTGCGATCCCAGCGGCGCACGCACAGAATCGCCAATTTTTTTTCTTCTTTTAAACTCGCCCGGGCGAACTTTTTTTTGCATTCTTTTCTTTCGGTGGATGTGTGCCGTCTTTCATTCCTCGAGTTTATCTGGCTTCGACAGCTTCGCGAAATCACGTCAGCTCCTCCTCCGGTGTGCGAAGCTTATGCGTGAATCATTCCAAGACCTCTCCTTCATCCGTTGATGGTCTGGTTACGTTTTAAAAATCAGTTAACGGCTTCTTCCGGAATGAAAAAATTGCTTGCATGAAGGAATGCGTGAAATCACGGGAAAACCATCGTTTGATTGATTGAAGTGCCAGTTGAAGTGCTCTTCCAAGATGTAAAGCTAGTCAATGAATCATTCGAAGGCCTCTTTTTACGAGGAAATTAATTTTTTCATTCGCTGTTGTTGTCTTGAGTTCAGTTTCTGTCCTGTTGTTATGGATGAGATGTTGTACAATCAAAATGAATTTATTAAAGAATTAAACCACGTAGAGATGATCATTTCATCGGGATGTGAGTTTCAGTGTGAGTTTACAATGCTAACTTAGATTATGAATCATTCGAAGGTCTCTTTTCTTGCTGAAATGTTTCTCCTGTCGATGGTATAGTCGTTACCACCAGGTCTTGCATTTTACTGCGGCAAAACGTTTTATTATCTAATGGAATGTCTAGCATCGAAGCAAAATAACAGTTTGGTCGATCTCAATTTTAAATTCAGTACTCTTCTGATGAGAAAAACTTGAAGAATAATTTTGAGCCATATCTGCTGACTTTCTTCGTTTTTCGAGGTTATACCTTATCTAGCACTGAAACCAGTACAATTTATTTAAAAAAAGGCCATTATATTATTTGATGGCACGAATGCCTTAGAAACCAGGTCAAAATGTGAGTGTCACTGACCTTAATCTTTGCGTCGATGCTGTGCTTACATCGATTGTTCGAGTAAGAGGAAAGCTTTTCCTGACGAGCGGCGTTTGGAGGAGCTCTTGTTACATAATTGGTCTTCGTGTAATTTTTCTTCGTTTGAGAAAAACGAAAATCGTCGAGAATAAGGCGTCACGAATAGAAAAAAAATCTGATGGTGAGCATAAGCTCTCGAAAACTTGAGATGATCATTCTGAAGCCTCTTCCCTTACTATAGTGGGCAGCAAGAAGTTGTCAGCATTTTGTCCAAATCTGCTTCAAAAAGTTGTCCACCAGTTTTTGCCAAAGTTATACAGTTGTGGACAACATATTTCGAGAACTTCGGACGAGAATCGGACAACTTTTGCGCAAATGTGTGACAAAATGTAATTTTTTCAACATTTTCAGATACAGCACTGTATTCTCAAATTTATCAAATTGTTTATTAAAATTTTCAAATTTATCGAAGTTGTCCGATTAAAAAAAATTCAATATGCAATAATTGGTGCCTACTATGTATTATATTTGTTAAATATATGTAAAAAAAAACTCCAAAATACAATTAAAAATTCATGAGCTCCATAGAGAAAAATTATTTTCAATTGCATTCTGGAGCTACAGAAGCTACAAAATGCAACAAATGTGCAACAAATGCAATACAAATGTTTGGGGCTACATTTGGCCTTTTCAGAAATATGTAATGCTCCTATATGTATACTGTATACCGTATATGTATGTATGCGTATGTGTGCATATACGTGTTTAATTGCTTAGTCTTTTTTAGTCATACTGTGATGAACTTTTTCACACCTGTGTGAACTTATTACTACATACCTCCCGAAAAGTATATTAATATGTAAGATTTGAAAAAATAAGTATCCACACAGATTCCCTGAACTGGACTTGCGTTGATATGCATAGACTATGTGCCTTTTGGATGAAAGGTAGACAAGTCTTGGACATCCTCGTGAATTTGGATAAAATTGGACAACTTCTTGCTCACTGAGTTACTTTCTCTTATTATTGAGAGTGATGGTGTAATGAAAGTGTGGAAATAACTGATGGCGGCATACTGGGATCTGATTGTTTTGCTAAAGGTTTGCTGATGGGCAGTCTTATGAAAGACGACGACATAAAGTCATGCAAACTCGCTCGAACGAACCGACTGCAGTTATTCCCGATCGAATCGAAATTTCCACTCTCTTGAGCAGTGTTGCAGGAAGAAAGAATAAGAAAAGTCGTGCTGTCCTTTACCGCATCAATTTCAGTTCCTGAGAAGTCAGGGGACTAATCCAAGTTATTCCCCACTTGTTGCTTTTCCATAATCATCAAAGTCGGTGCTTCTTGTGCGCTGTGGTGAGCGTAGGCATGGATCATCACTGCTGGAAGCCATGCTAATACTCAGCCATTTCGCATTCACTTGGTGAAAAGCCTGGGGAGTGACGCTATAGTGATACTGTATAGTTCCGGGCTGACTTGCAATGCTGTCAATGTTGGCTTGGATGCTCTAGACCCAACAAGCCATGGACCCAAGGAAAGGTTCTTGAAGAGCTGGTGCTGTGGCCTGGCAGGAAAAAACATGATTCATTGAGTTGTGGTAGGAACTGAGAAGGTCCGTCGACCTCTGGTGACATGTTGGCAGTTCAGGCAAACAAGGTGCCTGGGCCAATGAATGGCGGCCGCTTCGACTTCGACGATGGCGGCACTTACTGTGGCGGCTGGGAAGACGGCAAGGCCCATGGGCACGGCGTTTGTACTGGGCCTAAAGGACAGGGCGAATATTCTGGGTCATGGCACTTTGGCTTTGAAGTGTCAGGTATCTACACTTGGCCCAGGTTAGTGTAATCCATACACTTTCCCTTGAATTGCCTTTCCTTCTTTTCATCTTCAACATGATTAACATCGTCTCATGAATGAACAGAAATCTTTATTTTCTGCTTTTCAGCATTCACACGGTTCAATCAACATTCTCACATCCAAACCCCCTCCCCACCTAACTCAAATTCATTCAAATGCATTCAATCACTTCAGAATGGGAAACAGAGATAAGCTGGACCAAAATAAAAGAAATTACATTCCACAATGTACAATTGCACAACTCATGTGTATGCGTACACCCTTCTTTCCCTGACATTGAAAACAAAATATCAGTAACAAGAATTGCAACATAAACAATTGTCTCATGAAAATCAAGTGCGTGGTGCAGCGCATATTGACGTCAAATTATCAGAAAGACGATTGGAGCTTGAGCAGTATAAAAATACATGAAGCATTTGTCTGAAGGGATCCCTCATCATAGATCATCAAGAAGATGCTCATTCAACCGATGAGAATGGAAGTCCAAAAGAAAAAAATAGAGTAGTTTTCAGTATAAATAAAAATAAAAAGAAAGTGACCTGAAAATTGTAAATGCGAGTGTTCATAGGATAGGCAGTTGAAACTTGTTGAGTCATTTACATATCTGGCCAAGATTTATGTGTGAGGAAAGTGGGATAAGTGCATGAAAACCTTTTAGATACAGCATGTCTTTGAGCAATGAGCACCCAGAGCAGCAAACTTCTTAAATAACAAAGCTGGGGGTTGCCGCCATTTTGCCTTAAACAACAAATGACTTGAGAAAAACTTCGTCAAGAAAAAAAAGAAACACTTATGCGGCAAAATCCTCCAAACATGAAAGCTCCAATTCTCTAATGACAATTTACTGGAGACCCGCATGCTGGGAATAATACAGGTCAGAGTGAAATATGAACACGAATTCTTATTATGAGTAAAGCCCTCTTGTCCTCCAATATTGCTGTTGTCAATCAATTATTTATAACTTGGAGAAATATTAGTGACTCTGTTTTCCTTGTGTTATTTTTTAAGTTTATTTATTTTGTTCTACTTTAATTTAATGTAATACTGGAACCAATGATTTGATTTCTTATCATAACATACAGGAAATTATCAGTTGGATAACAAATGCTTTGATCAACAAACAGACCACTGGAATGTAATAAGTTTTGTTGCACAAGAGCGTACTGTACATTTACAGTATTTAATTTATTCCTTGTGCCTAGTTGGTGATTTTTGAACTTCGCTGGCTTGCCAATGCACATAAAACATAACAACAAGATCAACAGCGTACGGAAATATACTTTTATCAAGCTTGGTAAGAAATAACCAAGAATATGGATTACGACTGCTGTTTTTTTTAAATACAAAACTGAAGAAACATCCATCCTTCGGTTACCAAGCTATCCAGAATTTTTATTGGAATGCTTCGAAGTCTTCAACTCAGTGGAAATGGTCCCGTCATTGACCCTCTCCAGCCTTAATTTTTGTTGAATTCACGAATTAAATTCCACCTCACAAGTTCTCTCATTGATTTGGTCAATTATTCAAGAAAATATGAAGCTGAAGAGTTTTACCTCATGTACACATCTGAGCTTTATATATAAGCTGCACGCTTCATATCTGTTGCATCCTACTTTTTTGCCATCAATGCAGGGATACAACTGCACAGCATACAAATATTTTGAAATCCTGCCCAAAAAAAGTTTACCTACGCACGAATAAAACAAAGGATTTCCTTTTGTAGGCGAAATTTTCACCGAGAAGTTCTCACGCTTCAAAATATCATTTTGTTTCGCAATAATTGTCAGCCGGGTGAATACTGAAAGTGCTTGACTTTTAATAGCTTTAACTTTAAGACATAGCTTTTTTCGATTTGAAAAACCGAGTTAGCGCGAAGGTAGCACAAAATCTTTGAAGAGAGGCCACTCTCTTCAAAGTAATGCAGCGCATACACAAATGAATCAAGCTACATTACCCTTTTTGAGCTCATTTTTGTGGTAAAAATTGCTACATGAAATTGAGCCAATATGTGTGCAGTTTTTTGGAGATCGCAAGAAAAGATTAGGTCAATGGGGGATTATTAGGTATGCTCATGTTGCTCCACTATGGAGGACCCAGTTGTGCTGGATTATGATACGATTTCGGCTCAGAAAATGATGCAAGGGGACTCGGCTAACTCAGCCTGAATTGGCAAGTGTTAAACATGTGTGGCTTGTATGTGCCACAGAGTGAACAGTCCTAGGAAGTCGGTGCTGGTGCCAAAAATATTTGTCAATCCACACGGCTACAAGTTGAGATCTATGGCTATGCCTTGCAATATACCATGTAAAATGTTTTTGGGTGCAGTTTTTTGTGCTTTTAATACTTATTTATTAAAGTTTCATCCACAACAAAACTTGAATCGTGCAAAAATGCAACCTCTGGAGGGGGGACAAACATTTCTAAAATTTTCAGTCTAGAAACTTATCAAGGGTGCCGTATTTACTGCATGGAGTGAAATAAACAGTGGTGATACACTCGAATGCCACTGGCCAGTGGAGGTCATGATTATTCTGTTCTAAAATACGGAAAACATTTTGACGTGTTCTTCTTGCGCGTAGACATTCAGCAGATGAGTCATATCTAGTGCAAATTGAAGCGGGTTGTTGGCAAAGTCACCGCTTACTTCTCAGAACATACGCCATACACACACAGGACAGTACGCACAAAAGAAAAGAAAAGTTCCGAGCAGATTCCGGTCCTTTAGTTTTCAACGGGTGTTCTGTCGGGCATTCTTGCTTGTGCCAAGTCGCAGCTCAAGTCCAGTATATTTGTGGCAAAGCCATTCAGAGACATGAAGCTTGGACAAAATCCAGCCATAATGATTCACGCTGTTGTCTTTCCATCATTTCCCGCCACATGCTGTGCAGAGTAACGGACGTGCCACACAACCCTAGTATATTTATTCGAGGGATGCAAGAAATGCACTCTTGCGTAACAGTTCCAACCCCCGACGTTTTTGCGTGGATTGGCAAATGAAGCACAGCTTCACCCCTACAGTCAAACCTTGTCAAGTCAAACTCAGAGGGATCCAGAAACAAATTTGAATTTAGACGTTTTTGGGTCGCGGAAACCAGCGTTTTTGCTCGTAACAAATGAAAAGGAAAACTAGTGACTTTCTTGTCCTTAAACCACTGGATAAATGAGCTGACGGGATGCTGAACTTCAAAGACAGGGTACATTTGCACAATTACTCACTCAATTTCTTTAAAAAAAAGGGAAATTGAGTCTATATATTGTTCATGTCCTTCCTGGGCCTCCAGAAAAATATCCGGAAGGCCTCTAAAATTCAGTTATCGAGGTTTGAGGGGAGAACATATTTGAGTTTAGTTAGGTCTATGTTGCACTGCTCTTGAGGGAATCCAGACAGGGTCTAAGCTGAATTTCGACACGAGGAGGTTAAACTTAGCAAGGTCTGACTGTATTTCCTCGTCTCGCCACAGCGGTGCCACGTATGAAGGCCAATGGCAAAATGGCAAGCGACATGGACTGGGTGTCGAGACAAGAGGTCGATGGTCTTACAAAGGCGAGTGGACTCAAGGCTACAAGGGTCGCTACGGAGTCAGGCTCAGCCTGACATCGAATGCCAAGTATGAGGGAACCTGGGCCAGTGGTCTGCAGGATGGCTACGGATCTGAGACGTACGCGGACGGAGGCAAGCATGAATCTTTGAAAACCTTCTCATTTCTGCATGCTAGAACGTCTTTCAGCTTATTTGAGCGAAGTCCAGGGATTTTATCTCACATGCCCTCACATTTCCCTTCGTACGCATCGATTTGCTCAAAGAGCCACTTGAGCCTGTCGGAATGGTATTTTAACGACCAGAAAACCAGGATTAACTTTCTTTCTCGCAGCAAATGCACAATCGAATGCAAACATTGAGAGGGATCACTCTTTGCTTTCTCAGGCTCCGACCAAAGTAACTCGCTTGAATATATTTTAAATATTGGTAGATGCTTAGAACTCATACAATGGAATTATTTGATTTTGAAAAAGGCCACAGTCAGTTTTATAGTTGTTTTATCATGGAAGTGATGCAAAGTTTTCTGGACTAAATGTCTGAGGCGAAGCCCCTGCTGCAAACTTTTTTTTGGGTCTTCACTTTCGTCGTTTATTTTATCATGGTAGCCATAGTCTTATTTTTTTGGCCCCACTTGTTGAGCCTATTACATCTTCCCTCATACACGAGTGTATATTTTTGTTTCTTGTCTTTAATGAATTTCACTGTTTTCTCCCTTTTCCTGGAGCACCTGCGGAGCCCCTGGGGATCCTAGGCATGGGCTACTCAACTTTTTGAAAGACTCGATGCTCTGAGGAGCGCTAGTTGAAACTCTTTGAAATAAGTATTAGCCTAATTAGATGATGAGTAGACCATGTCTGAGTAATCTTAGACTCTCGCAGAGCCCAGGAAAGTTTCTTAGCGTTCAGTTTCTTTGGGTCTTCCTTGAAAATCCAAGGTCTTGGCACTAGAAAATAAGGTCAAGAGGAAATGTTGTTTAACGTGGATGTAAGAAAGAGATTCAGGGAGGGCTTTTGAGGAAACTCAAGCCCACATCAAAATGTATGAGCCACAGAATGAGCCCTTTCTGCAACATCTAGGAATGTACCAAGGCCAGTGGATGCGGGGGATGAGACATGGATACGGCATCAGAACAAGTGCACCTTACGGTCTGGCATCCCACCTGAAACCCAAGGGAGCTGTGGACAACTCTTTGCGAGATGCAGAGTCCCCGGGTCCTGGTGGGAACTCAGCCGGGGTAGTAGCAGGAGACCCAGCAGCTGACAGGGACAAAAAGATGGACGATGGCAGAGGAGGATTTGTGCTGAAAGCGAGAAGCGATGACGTGCCCAAAGAACGGAGACGAGGATCCCTGATTGAAAAGTCCACCACAATGAAGAGATCTCTTTTCCAGGTGAGTCCTGTACCATGTTTCCAAGCGCTACACGCAGTTTTTATTGGACGAAATTATTCACTAATTATCAAGGTATACGCATCATACTTGGCAAAACAGAATGTTAGATGAATTTTGCGAATTATTTCGGACAAAAAATCGAATGCATAAAGCATGAACATCATAAACATAGTTTAAAAATTAAATCCGTTTTGGAAAGCTTTTCGAACTGCTGAACTTGAAATAATTCATCATTCTGAAAAGCTAAATCGAGAACACATTGATGACGCTTTCGTACGGTTCCAAGTTAAGATGGCAATAGGGTTAGGATTACTATGTGTACACCGAATGCTTGCATTCTTAGTTTTGATTTTAAAGTTAGACGAATATACTATATGCTGTTGGTCTTGATCTTCGTGTATGACGGGCGAAATGGGTGACGGGCAAATTCGTGAAATACTTTAGCATGAAAAAACTGTTCCTAGTTCAACAAATTTTTCCACAGGTATACGTTAATTAAATAATTTTAGGCCTTAAATACAAATGCTAGTCCAAGGAAATGTAATGAATGTTTCATTAGAGAGTTCCATCAAATGTTTATCTGATGTGGTTAGTTCAAGTGAAGCGTTTTAATGTAAAAATGAATATCATATTATTTCAAGTACTGGAGTATGGACACACATTAATGTTTTATTTTTTTTGTAAAATTGCCTATACCCTTGTATCATATCATGCAAATGTCAATTTTGGTCCAAAATTGTATTTCGGATGGTTTCCAAATGTTCCATGAGCGTGAGAGGAATCAGTTTCGTTCCGTAAAGGTCATCCTCATTGCGGAATATTCAAAAATACACATGAACAGATTATTATCGAAAAATTCTTGGATTGAAAAAAAATTGGAAATCGTTCAACTCTGTGACCAGTACACGTTCCGGGAAACATAAAAAGCCACCTATGCTTGCTTGTCGGTGCGATAATTGGTACGTCGTGTCTTTGCAGTCATTCTTCAACAAATTTTCACTTTTCTTCGTCCAGTTTGTGGGGAATTCGAGCACAATTTTCCCGCGATATGCCAAAAAATTCAAATTTTCAACTTTATAAAAATATCAAGTTGAGGAAACCCTTCTCATAGGTGCAGAACTGTGATTAGTTGATTGAAGAGACAAAATATAAGAAAAATGTTTTCCATTACGATGAAAATACTGTACTTTACAGCGAAGTGAATATTCACAGGATTAATCTGAGCCGGAAGTGAAACACTGAGCAAGTATTTTTCCTATTATACACATTATTGACACTTCTCACAACCATAAAGCTCAATGGAAATATAATCCTAAATTTATTCATTGAGAAAAGCTGAAAATTTGGATGCGAGTTTTCATCAAGTCTGTCCAACAGCAATGGGCGAATTTTCGGCAAATATGAATTTTGAATGAAATATCTGCATAGAAGTCATTTCTAGGGCACACGCTTTGCAAAACTGTTCACACTGAAGAATGTTGTCAAACCCGCTATATAAAATGTAAAATAATCATGAAATTAGCTTTTGGGCTTTTGAACCTTTTTGTACGGCTTTTCATAGGCTATGCATTTCTCTCACGCTTATTAATTTTGTAATTAAATCAATTTTCAGAATGCTATCGCGGTCCGTCGAATTTATCCCTCTCATATTTGAACATTTTCAGTTCAGGCATTCGTAGAATTATGCACGGGCACTGTAACTGATTATCCGGTGTAATGGATGATTCGATATCCTATTGGACTTCGGAAAAATCATCGCAAATAATCGAATATTTAAGGAGGAGATTCAAAATAAAAACAAATTTAAGGATGACGTCATAATATTACCGACATCCCAGCATACTTTGAAATGCTTCATCTCATGATGATTGATTGATTGTTTCCTTCGAATTTAACCACAATCTCGGACGGTGGATCGAATGCACGGTTAATCAAGCCAGAGACATTAGAATTCAATAAATTGTCTAATAATGTCTAAAATATTATTCAGCTCAACTATATGCACGGTTAGTCGAACCTTGAATCATTTTAACGCAGAACTGCAATTATCGGGGCTCCTATCTGAATGACTTCGCGGATAATCGAATTGCAGTCGAATGTTACTAAAATATTATTCAGCTCAACTATATGCACGGTTAGTCGAACCTTGAATCATTTTAACGCAGAACTGCAATTATCGGGGCTCCTATCTGAATGACTTCGCGGATAATCGAATTGCAGTCGAATGTTCCCCAACGAATGCTAAACAATTTTGACTCCAATGACTTCTCAAAATATCAGTGTACCAAAAATCCCGCGGATACAATTTCCCGGGAAATCGTTCAAACAAATGGAGATGCAGTGGATCGGATTACGAATGCTTTATAGAAGTTGCTTTATTTCCTCTCGAAGAAATCAAAATTTTGAAAAGGTGGGTCAAATGCACGGTTGTAGTCGAAGCCCAGATACTGGGCTCGACTAGGAGTTCTGCCGCATTTGTCCAGAAGACGAAGGATTCTTTTATTCTTTTTCACGGGAACGAATGTTGAGGAAATTTGATGATGAATTTCATGTCAAAGCGTTTGCGAAAACAACGGAGCACCGGTGACTTGGACAAGAAAGGCACGGGCAGTTTGAAATCCGCGACGAGCACAGCCAGTTGGGCGAGCACTGATTCGGGGGCGTCCGGGATGTCGCCCGACGGCGAGATCGATTCGAACGCCAGTTTCGTCACTCAGGTACTTAACGACCCATTCCGCAGTCGGTGAGGTCACAACGACGTGTTCCCGCAGGATGAACAGGTCGAGCCGCAAGTCACGGAGACTTACATGGGTGAATGGAAGAACGACAAGAGAAGCGGGTTCGGGATCAGCGAGCGGACGGACGGACTCAAGTACGAAGGCGAATGGTTCAACAACAAAAAGTACGGCTACGGCGTGACGACTTTCAAAGACGGCACAAAGGAGGAAGGGAAGTACAAGAACAACATCCTCATTACCTCTCACAAAAAGAAGCACATGTTCCTGATTCGGTCGGCGAAGTTCAGGGAACGGATCGAACAAGCTCTCGCAGCCGCTGCCAGGGCGTCGAAAATTGCACTCCAGAAGGCCGACATTGCCATTTCGAGGTTACTTTTCTTCTTTCTCACGCCTTGCCCTCTAACACGCATATATAGATAATATACAGATACACAAAAATGCAACAACAACAAAAAACGATAATACACGGGAATGATAATCTTTCTCAGAACAAAATAGAGGCTTCACTTTCAACAGTGCGGCATATTGATTCTTAATTCAAAATTGAATGTAAATCATTTTTCCGAAAGTTTCTTCGGATGCCGAATAGGCCGAGGACCCCTTGGAAAAGGGCTACTCTGACACTTGTGTGACCCCCTCTGAACTCGTGGAGCCCTTAGGGCTCCGCAAGCGAGGGTTAAGATCCTCCGTTACGAGGAACGAAAGACAATTTCAAAAACTTGAATATTGGAATCATGTTTTGTTCTTAGGACCGCGATGGCAAGAGGCAAAGCAGACCACGCTGACATCGCTGCAATGCATGCGCGGGAAGATGCAGATTTAGCATGTATGTGTGCCAAACAGTTTGCTCCGGATTTTCGCCCTCCAGGTTAGCTTCCTGCTCCAGGTTACGGGGTTTTCACCAAATCGAGTGTCGTCAAGTTTATTAGTGAACCTGCTGGCAAAGAAAATTGAAATGACACCAGTAAAAATCATCGTCGGCTTCCCGACCGACGTGAATCTCGAAGGTCAACAAATAACGACCCCATCTTTTGGTTGAATTGCCTTGAAACATTTCCTGAACTTTTTCTGGTTCTTAAATGCACTTTTTGTGTTTAAGAAGTTTGCCGACCTTGAGCTGCAGACCGTTTTTAGAAATCCAATTTTTCGCATCGTCAAGGGACATGGTTGGAAAGTTTGAAAGCTTTGAAGCATTCATCTGATTTCCTGAAAAGTGCTGATTGAAGGGAAGAAGAAAGTTCGAGTTGATTTAAGAAAGTTTGAGGAAGAAATCCACGAATTATCGTGGCGTGTAGAGTTATGCAATATAGAATCAACATCATTTCACGTTGCGAGATTCAAACTGAATGAATGAGACGCTTTCTTTTGGAATATTGCCTTTGTTGGTCATCTGTGATCATATTCCGCACTTTTCCTCCCAAGAGAGTGCCAAAAACTTGCCCTTGGCGCCTGTTGCCGAAAATATTTGAAAATAGACAGCTTTGTGTAAATCGAAATTAGCCGAATTTTGCAGAAGCAGGTAGAATCAACCATTTTTCCTCTTGTGAAGGTTCAAGTCTCATTTTTATCATCAGGCGAGTTGAACGAAAGAAACCATGTTAAATATCCACCCCTCCATCATTGTATACTGTATCCTTCCCTATGATATTAAAAGGTGTTGCCTGTCTCTAGGAAGTTGCTTTCTTCGAAAACCTCTAGTATTTTTTCTGCATATTCACTCTTTCTCTCAAGTCACTGTCACTGTCACCGAAGTACTGTACTGTATTCATTTTCGGCCCGTTGTTGCGCGCGGCAAATAATCGCGTGGAATTTGTCGTTTTTTTTTTTTTTAGCAAAGGATACGTTTCTACTGGAGGGGCATTTTTTCATTGGGGCGAATTGAGCGTGGTTTATGAGGTTTTGATTCGATTGTAATGTGTCAGGTGCGGATTTGCAGCGAGCACAGCCGAAACCAACGATCGCGACGCCGCCGCCGCAACTGGAGGTGACGAGCCCGAGCGGGCTCGTGGAACAAGCCAGTCAACCGTCTTATACCCAGCCAGATACTTCCGTGCATTCCAGTTTGACCCCTATGACGCCAGAAATGAATCTCTCGACATTTCCGCCTCATTCCATGGCTCAAGAGCCGACCCACACACCTTACAATGCTCATATACTCAGCAGCTCGTTTGCGAATCACACAGGCAGCCAGCAAGCAGCCTCCATGAACCTGCACCAGCACCCTGGGCCGTCAGGAATGAACACAGCGGCTTTCTCGTCCAGGAACTTCGGACCTCAGAGTCAAAACATGGATCAGCAGTTTCGAACGAACTACGAAATGGGAGCGGCGCGGATGTCGCACCCGCGGGATATGTTGCCCGGGCAGAATTTCCCGATGCACCAGAACCCGAACCTGCCGCTGTCACAGCAACAGCAACAACAACAACAGCAGCAGCAGCAGCAACAGCAACAACAGCAACTGCATCAGCAACAAATGCAACAACAGCAACAACAAATGCAGCAGCAGCAACAGCAACAGCAGCAGTATCCGCCCGTTTCTTCGGCATACCTGCAACAGAACCCGCCTGTGTCGTCGCCGTACCTGCAGCAGAACCCTCAAATGGTGTACGCGAACCACCCAGGCGGCATGAAAAATTCCTACGAAGTACAGGACCCGATGATGAACCAGGTCGGTCGAGCTTAGTATCCGTTACGCTAATTTTGAACATCTGTCACTTCTCTAACGAGAGAGTTTGTTGAATAGAGCAAGTTTTAAAATCAGATCAGATGTTCATGCTGGTCGGAAACCGAGTGCACGTGTTTTTTATTTATTTATTCTGGTTGATCCATGTAAATCAGATGAAATCAAAGCCTTTCGCTCGTGTTCTTTTATATTCATAATTTTGGATCGGAATCACGGATTTTTCTGCCCCAATTTTCCAAAGAAATTCACATAATTCAAGCCTATTCCACGTTACTGTCCGCGTGATGGACCCGTCGATTAACTGTAGTTTCTTGTACGGAACACATCAGAGTAGTGTATTATGAGGTAATAATACTGTATGCTGAAAATCCACCGATGCAAAGAATTTCTCGTGAAAATTCAATCGGGCGATAAGTTCATCATAATATAATATTGATGCTCATAATTAACTTCAAGCAGATTAAATGTTATATTTTTTTCTGAAAAGGATTCTTTCGTGACGTGTAATTTGCTTTCTGAAGATGTCATTAAAATTCAGCCGGCGTGAATAATTTGTTAAGCAGGACAATCGTTCTCAACAGTTCGATAGGATCGAAGGTTTAAAAGGATTATCGCACTTCTGAAAGCGGAATACAGTACATGTATTCTGTAAATTTGGCTAAGCAGTCCGTTAAACGGTTAAAAAGGTTTTCAGCATAAGCTTTGCTGACTATTATCACTCTTTTTTATGGCACTAGAATATAAATTTATGCTAGAGATTCCGGTTAATTTATACCAACGGTCAATTTCGAGACTAAATGGTGGGTTCATTAGAAATTAAGGAAATCTCAGTTTGATCCTGGAAGCTCTTCGGAGTCGTCCTTGCATCGTTCAGATGCTTATTGATGCACACGGTAGGATAAAACCAGGTTTGTTACTATTTTGAATACTTTTCGTAGATGTCTTCACCCTTGGCATAATTCCAGAGCACAATGTCTGGAACTTGTTTCTGTAAAATATTCCGTATTTTGGAAAAAGCTATATTTTGGGCTATTCAGACTGCGGCCCGTTGCTCTACTGTAACTAGGGGCCAAGAATGTTTCTACTCAAAGCAAAAATATTTCGAAAGTAAAACGCGGATAATGTGAATATGAATAATTATAATTTTATATTTTTATCTGCTGTCGAATTTATGTTGCATCGACGTTTCGAAAAAGTTACTCCTGAAAAAAATGCGAATGTAGCTCAAACGCGTCTTAAAGTACTGCAACGCGTTGATTTGAATGCTCGTGGGCTGAACATGGGTTCAAATAAATTTTGATTTAAAGTGCTTTGAAATCGTATGTACAGTAATTTTACTCTTTGATTGCATTCATTATGCTCATCATGGCCATGCAAAAAACAAGGCAGCGATTGGGGGTTCATTTTGATTTGCGCACATGCACTCTTCACAAATGAGGCCAGAGAACAAAGATTTCCTGGTTCATATTGAAGGGAATCAGCAGGTAAAGTTATGAAGCGCTCGTCACTTTTATTCGCCTCAAAGGAATTTGAAAACTAAGACAGACGACCGAATGTTTTCCAGGTCTGCGGGAACATGTCGAACTGGATGCCGGAGCGAGACCAAGTCCTGCAGCAGCTACAGAAGCAGCTCCAACAGCAGCAACACCAGCACCCGACGGCGCACCAGTTCGGACCCAGCCCCCGACAACGGCCCCAGCGCGGCGGGTCCGTGGACCCCAACGAACTCATGAACGAGCGCTTCAGTCACTACGATCGTCGCAGTCGCGATCGGAGTCGCGACAGCTCCGTCGACCGGTTCAGCCACCGCTCGTCGCGCTACTCGTCACGTCAGAACCTGCCCGGTGCAGAGACAGCGCCGCCGTTCTCACGCGTCGGCGCCGGGCCGCTCCAACAATCCCTGCGTCGCCAGCCGGGCAACCCGAGCCCCGACGCCGGGCCCCACGTCGCCGATCACGCTCAGTCCGGTCTGAGTTCTGGCCTGTTCCCCAGTCAGCACGGAGGCGCCTCGCCGTTCCCTAGTGAGTCGTCCTTTGATCCCCACGTGATAAACTCCGAGTCCGGCTTGGGATACTACGTGCCATCCGAGCCGTCTGTGATGGCTCCGTCTCCCACCCCCAGTGCTGGGCCCAAACGCACCGAGTCCCTCTACATCACTCCTGTTGCCAAAAGCAAAGAACCATCCGGTAAGGTGAGTTAGTCCTTCTCTCCTCTCCTCAATCACGGACCTCTTTCTCGGAAATTATGGTACAGCACTGTAGCGTACTTTATCTAATACTGTACTGCACATAATTAGCTCTTCGCTCATCTCTCTCGCATCTGCGCGCGTGCCACGTCGTTCAGAGCCAGTACACTACACGGACTATTTCTGGCGTTCGGGATTAATTCGTCATTCCTGGGCAGTACCATTAGTCACAGCTAGTTCATATACCGCATGGTGTGGCTCGAGAATGAAATCAATTTTGCCTGCGAATATAAGACGTACTTTCATCGGATGGGAGGATTCCGTGGACTACACTCATGCTTCGGTTAGCAGTCTAATCTCTTCAAACGCTTCCAACAGAAATCAGAATTCTTACTCTCGCGCCCTTAGACAAAAAATGTCAGTAAGGATTTTTCTGATACTCTACAAGTTTGATCAACTTTTATTTATAAGATTGTGTTTGCGAGAAGCAATCCTGCACTTGACCTGCGAATCGAAGACGCCAGCGATCTATTTTGATGTGCATCCCTACACTTTTTCACAATGAATCGTTGTCGAATAGCGCGTCATGTATTAAATAAATAATAAAATAATTAGGAGCATTCTTGAAGTTCACCGGCTTGAGATGAGCGCTTTGTTCCGTGAAAGGAGTTGGATAAATTATACTGAAGCATGATTTTTTCTGCTTAATACTATATACGTATGCCTGAACTTGGTCGACCGAAACAGAGTACTGTAATGCAGTAAAATCGGTTACTGCTTTATCAGCTTCCATGGAAACGGCATTTTCAACTGGTAACGGCTCGAAATGAAAGTTTGTTCCCGGGAAAAGTATTGGATACTTCCAGCTTGAGCAGTCTCTGTCTTACTTCATGTCAGAACTTTATCTACTCAATTGAATCACCCGTGCCGTTTTGTATCGTGCCGGTGAAGACGTAATGTGCACTGCGGAGCATGTGCAACTGCTTACTGCTGGTTCACTTGCCTCGGATCAAGGAGGCAATTAAATACAAGGTGTAGTGAATCATGTCATTCTGGCTTGTTAATGGGAGAACATTATAAGCAGACGAATTAATCATCAATAAGAAATCTCCACCTTCTCTCTCAGGAAGTAACAGATTTTTTTTTTTTGAAATAAAATACCATGCAATATTTCATTTCCGCTTGAAGTGTATCTCGAGGAGGTAAATAGCATGAGATACATTTCTCATTCTTATGAAATTACCCGAGAACGTACGAGATAAAAATGAGCCTAGGTTCTCATGATATCTTACTCAAATATATTATTCTTCCGTGGAAGTAAATAAATTCATTTATTCTGAACAAAAAAATTAATGAAATAAATTTGGATGCTTGTGTATTCCAAGGAACGCGAAGGAAGTTTCGCTTGCGCCAGAGTCTGAGTAGTGTGCTTTCTTGGCATCACTGAAACTGCTCACGTTCATCTACATGAAAAATAAAAGAGGGCAAGGAAAACGTGACAGAATTCCGACGAAGGGACTGTAATCTTAAGCGCCACGTCATTGAAACTAAGCCAAGAAAATCTTGGCATTGGGTTCCGTGCTTCTGTGCACACTGGTCGTGACCGCGTTCAACAGCAGCGGATGCATTTATCGTTGTTGTCGGTTTCGCAGGATTCAGTACTATGCTTTTCACCGCGGCGCGAATGCTGCCCCCCATGCGAAAACGGAAGGGGGGGACGGGGGACGGAATGTACCGTTTCGGATACTGAAAATGCACTCTCTTTCCAGGCAGCAGTATTGGGTGGCTCTGGAGGTGCGCCTTCTGGCGGAGTGAGGAAAAGGAAGAAAAGCTTGCCGACGTCCGAGAAAATAGAGAAGGAAGTCGGTCAGGTTATGTCTCGTGAGGAAGTGTCGTTTTTGAGCCACAACCGTCGCCAAGAAATTCATCGGGAAATAGAAGAGACTGCGAGGTACCGCGCCAATCCCCTCCTCTATCTTTGCAGTCCAGGTGTTAGAGTGAGTACCTCGGCAGAGCAACGGACTGATTGATACACTCAGCAAGATTACAGCCCACACACACACACAAAATGAACATCAGAGCAAAAATATGCTACTAAAATCATTTGTCAGATGATTCAATCTACCTTGCAGCAGCGAGAATGAATCAAACGTAGAAATACATCACATTACTTTCCACGATAACTTTCATCATGCGTGCTTTGATCAACCACACATTTAATGAAATTTGCCGCAAAAAAACTGTTACTCAAAGTTTTACACCAAAATCATTGCAGAATGCGTTGCACCAATTATTTTGAACACATGCACATGGTGATCACATACTGTACTTACTTCTATATTTAACACTCCTTAAATTATTCCTGTCTAGGAAACGACTTCATCTTCGAGATCTAAAGGGAAGATCGTTATTACAGTATCATGGTAAACTCTCCACAGATTTTCGCATTGGACTCAAAATGTCACAATATAAAGTATCGTTTTAGAGGAGCTACTGACACACTTTGAAAAATCAAAGTATTGTCAGGATCGAAGAACAAAATCATTTTGTGGGGAATATAGCTGAAAAAATTATTATACCGAGAATTCAGCTGCATAATTTTGAGTACAGTAGTACAGTATATAAATAAAATAATAGTTGTCATCTTGATATTTCGGAAAAAGGGACACTATTCATTATACCGGATCATAAAGGTTCCAATGCATGGTAGACTCCGATCATTTCCGATAATGACCAGGACTTTGCCTATATCACGAATAATTCAGTTTTATAAATTTCATCGTTTATTGATTTTTAAATGATCCCCGGATGTGCATAAAAAGATTAAAATTCCTTCAAATCTCGAAGTTTATTAGTCTAGGCAATTTTCCCATCAGAGATAAATTGAAGCAGCTCTATTTGAAAAGATGAGGCTTCGTTTCTTCTCAATCAATCAATCTAATGCCATGATGATTGGAATTCCACCTTTATTTCGTGTATGCTGTTCTTGGGATCGGATCCAGTCGATTGCTTCATGGTTTCATGTCGACATTGTTGCGCATGAGAAGCGCAGACGTTTAAATTTGGTTGTCTTCTTTCAGGACTGGTTCTCAAGACAGCAGCTTGTATTGGTCGTCCTCATCATCAACATATCACTGGCGTATCTCTTCTTCCACTTGCTCACCTGATGGATTTTCCATGACGTACGGTTGTTTATGGAAACTAGCGGACAGTTCCGCTTTGGATTTTTTTTCCGAAAGTACCGAGGCGCATGTCTATTTTAAGAACAATTATAATGTTGGGATGAAGGGAACTGAAGGATTGTACTGTCCGGAGATCCGGGCGACTTCCGTGTTCCCCGATGAGAGTTGGGAAGCGTGGTCCTGCGCTTTAATTGCTCGCCACGAGGCTCTGAAGCATTTTCTCCCGACACTGTTTTCCCGGTGGATTTGTTGCATATTTTCATACTTGTGTGATGAGGGAGGCGTGCGGCGGAGAGAAAAAGAACAAAGAAGAGAGCTAGTTGCATCCCTGGAGGCGCGAGGTCCGTCGTGTTTTATTTTTGACGCCCCGGAATCTCCGAGCCCGAGTGTATGTTGTCGAGTGCGACCTCCAGTTGTAAAGTTGCCTTCATCGAAACAACAGAAAGGTATTCCTGCTTTGGCAAAGGTTTTCATGAACCCCCTCACCGCTGAAGAGTCGTACTATTCCGCGTTATTTAATGTTTGCGAATTATTGCTGTGCACCTTTGCATGGAGCCGTTGATTCCGAGAATCGTTGTTTTTTTTTTCTTTCGTTCGGACGCGCGGGATCGCGTTTTCCCTTTGACAACCATAAGCTGGCGCGGTTTGAACAGAGCCGTGGGCGCCGAGCAAATTTGTGGCATCTGTGATTTCCGTAGATTTCTTTCGAGTTTCGTTCAAACGCCGATCGTGCTCTCTGATGCTGCTTTGATCATTAACTCAGGAGCACGGATTCCCCGCCCCCTCCCGATGTTTATATGAGCGCAGCGTTAGTCGTATTCATCGCAGATGAGACTCCTCATTTTTTCTGGGATATCAAATCACGGCAACACTTTTTTTCATTTTTGTTGAAATCATTCTTCGGGAAGTTGTTCGTTTGCCAACGGGTTTCTGTATAGCTCGCTCAACAATTTCTCGAGCTCCGGCAGACTTGCGCCTATAGTCCACTTTCGCAACCGAGTCTCCTTTTGGCAAATTATGCAACTGAACAGAGCTGTTCGGCATATGTATGTCACGCTTACCAGAGGATGTATTCTCCTCACGAGGACCACGACCTCCCGATTTTGGTTTTTATATCGTTTCGTTTCCGCATTGTCGTTGATTTGTTGCTCGTTTGTTTTGAATACATTGTTACCGAGCTCCGCGGGACTCGAGTGCCGCTGAGGACCTTGAGTGCTGCTTGTTTGGAGGCGACTTTGAACTCGGAGGCGTGCGGTGAGCGTCATCTTCCCATTTCTACCAAAAAAGAAGAAGAAGAAGAAGAAAACGCAACAGCTGATGCTAAACATTTTTTATTTGTTTTTGTTTCATCAGCTGAGAAACAGCATCAGCATCACCCATAAGCATATGCCTTGCTTCCACTTATGTGTTTCATACAATGGAATCATGGGTTGCCCCAAAAGACGAAGTTGTCGCGACTGTTTTCGGAATAAATACACTATCGAAACCTTGACTGAAATCGTGCAATGTCGTCATTTAAAAATCTTTGAAATACCGTTTCTACCCTGCTGTCGTCTGTTAAAAACGAGAGCACCACTCTGATTTAACTGTGATTTTTCTGCTCTACTGAATACTGGCAAATAAATTCCTCTTCTATTCGAAAAGGGGAAAAACCCAAATTCACGTGATTTTCGGCCGCTTGCGACTATGTGTAGACTGTACTCGATTTTAGACTGTAATTTAAATTTCAGAAATTTTTAGCCGCAAAATATTAAAAACAATTCAGACAAAAGGTGGCTCCCATAAATGGAAAAAGGTGGTTTTCCTGAATAATATTTGACTATCATACAGAGTGCGAAGCACGTTTTATACTGCGTCATTTTTTTTTACCGATGTCTCTATACAGGATTTGAAAGGATGAGATTTTTAAAATTCTGGGGACATTTTCATAAGTCTGTTTTTGTACCATATTCAGCCTACAGCATCCCTTTTAATGGTTGTGTAGCATTTCTNATAGATGAGATTGTGATGCGGCCAATATCCGAGCCCATCAAGTATAGGCTGCAACCCCAAGGTGTTCCTAGGTATCTTGTTTGTTTTATCACTATTGATGAGCATATTCGTCCTCCATTGTCATCGTGTCATCGTAACTCAACGTGCTACAGTATCTAGCAGATCATAGACCTCATTCTAAAGTTTCAGTTTTCGTCCTTTCGAGGACGATAACTTCAATGGAATGTTTTGCAGGTGTTCGATCCGGCAGTGTTGGCTCAGTGCCGGAATCCCCGTCATTCATATTCTGTCCTTGCTCGTCGTCGAAAGAAGGTCTATTCATCAAGTGCGTGGGCTGCTTTGCTTGATTGAGAACATCTAAACAATGATCCAAGTCTTTCAGCTGTACTGTCCCGGTTCCGGAAACCAGGTTGTCAACGAAATCTGGAAAGTGCTGTCGCATCATTCGCACTTGCACGTCTTGACTCATGTCGCACCAAATGCCCTCATCGAAGTCTTCGTCCAGGAATATCCCTCTGAAGCTATATTGCAAAGAATGAATGGAAGAAATATTGCTCGGAAATCTACTGGACGGCTTTTCGACAAATGAAATTTATAAGCAAAAAATAATAATAGACCTAAGACCAACCCTTATTGTATGTAGCATTTTGACTTGAGAGTGAAACACCCGTACAGCATACCAAAGAAATCATACGTTTTGAAGCAAAAATGTGGCTTTATACATGCCCAAAACCTGTAAATTTTAGTGATATAAAACGTGAAAAAGATAAAGGATGTTTGGTATAAGCGGCAATGTCTGACTACAAGTAAAGGCAGTTGGCAGTTCATTAGAGAATTAAGAGAATTTTAAATTGTTGTCTGCATGCCATACGTGCACAAATGCCGATTTTATTCTGGATTATAATATTTTGAATGTAGGCCGCTCCTAAACATTTTGTTGGCCCGTTTTGGAAAAAAGAACGCGGCCCATAATTAGGTAAATAGGCACGTTAATTACGATTAACCTATCGTTCATCGAACATATTTAGAAAAACCCAGAGATCCTCAATATTCTACCCTTGAACGAAAAATCTGCGTTAACATTTTTAAAATTGCCCCCGAAACCTTCGTTTTATCGAAAATGTCGATTTGTGATCCGGCGCACTTATAAACACTTGCTGTATATGTGAGGAATAATTCACAGTGAACCATGACAATGTAGTTCATTAATTCACGGTAACACCACTAGTTCGGGCATGGCTATACAAACGAGATAAACTTACCTTTCGGGGGCCATTTCCTTGGCTTCAGAAGTCGACTCTGGTCCGAGAAATGAGGTCCAGGCTTTTTTCACTGACCCCGGATCTTTTTTGTCTTGGCCAGGCTCGGAACGTTTCGTGATGATGAGTATCAAAGCCTTGCCCTCGGTATACACGCCAAGTATTTTTTCTGCGCTTTGCGATTCCATGAGTTCCCTAGTGTCGATGTTGAAAAGCTCCATCACCTGGTAGACCACATTTGGTATTCAAATCGAAAATCCCTGAGCTCCAAAATAATAATAATAAATGCGTGACATAATGTCTACCCCTGTGGATTCTGCTGTATGGAGGTGCGACTTTTTCTTCAGAGTTAGCATATAGACTTGATTGTATAAGTTCTTCGGATGACAATGTCCGCACTATTATTACAGGTATTTTTAT